GGGTGCCACACAGAGGGGACAGCGCCCCAGAGCCAAGGACATGACACGCAATGTCTCTGTACATCCATAGCGCCTGGGCAACAGAACTTGCAGGCGCGGTCGGTCTGAGTCATCCTCTTCTCCGTCGCCCACCATCCTACCATGGTTACCAAGACCGAACCTTGCCAGTCTGAGGAGAGACCGCTGAACAAGGACGAGTGGTCCACTCTCCCAGACGCTTCAAAATAGTCGGAGCGATGTTCGCCTGGAAAAAAAAGCCCCTCCTCCTCCTCCGCCTCCTCCTCCATCTCCTCTTCCACCTCGCCCTCACCCTGGCCTTCCTCCCCCATGAAAATCCCACGTTGCGAAAAATGCACCGTCTCGAAAAATCGCGACCAAAGGCCTGACCCACTCTTTCTGCTGCAGCTTGCGAGCCAAATCCATATGTGATGGTCCTGGAGCCCGCAACCAAGCGAAAACGCCGGGTGTGAAGAAGTCAGAGCGCCTCGATCTCAAGGTCCCTCTCCCACCCCTCCCCATCCTGAGGGGCAACGATATTTGGGCGACCAGCTCCCCAGACCCCCGACGTCGTGATTTTTCACGACGCGACCCCCAGAGGTCCAGACCCATTCCCCGGGACCGGTTTTTCGTCCCGAGTCGTTTTTTGGCGGTCCCGAGGCCCGGTGAGGGCCCCCGGAGGCCGAAAATGGCGAAAAACCTCCCGTCGTGACTTTTTCATAACTCGAGGGGGTCTGGGTCAGAGGGGGGGGGGGTACGTCGAGCTGGAATCGGCGAAACACCGCCGATAGGGGGCCCGATAGCCCACCCTGCCCAGGAACGTGCGGATACGCTGATCGGGGGCCTGCCGCCCAGTCTGTCGACGGTGTATCGCCCATTCCAGCTCGACGCTTCCCCCCCGTGAGCCTACCCCCCTATCATTGCCCCTGAATTCATCCCCCTCCTTCTTCCACGTTTCTCCCCCCCCCCTCTCCCTGAGGGGGGAGGGGGGAAGCGAGACGAGGAGGGGAAAAGGGGGAGGGGAGGAGGGGGAGGGGAAGGGAAGAAGGAGGAGGGGGGAGGGAGGAAGGGGGGGAATGGGGGAGGGGAAAAAGAGAAGGAGAAGGAGAAGGAGAAGGAGAAGGAGAAGGAGAAGGAGAAGGGGAAGGCGGAGGGGGAGGTGGAGGGGCGAAGGAGGAGGGGAAGGGGCAGGGGGACCCCCTGTCCCTCGCCCCCTTCCCCTCGTAGATCAGGACGAGAGTCCCAGACCTCCTCTTCGCGCTGCATTTCACGAGTCGCATCGATCTGTGAGGGTTCTGGTGTCCGAAACTGGGCGAGAACGCCCGACGTGAAACAACTGCGACGCCTGGATCTGAAAGTCCCCCTCTGGGGAAACCAAAAGGTACCGATACCGCTACCCACGGAACCCCTCCCAAGGTGCGTCCTGACGAGGATTTCGAGGCGAAGCCAGCGGTGGCAACGAAGGCCTCCCAGCAGGCCCGAACAGGGGGAAAGCGATGCCGGGGGGTAGCGGTATGTAGAGGCCTCCTGGACAGGGTCCGAGCAGATGGGGCCGGACGATCGCGCCGCATCGCCACTGTATCGCCGATACATCGGCGATGCATCGCCGACGTCGCTGCGCAGCGGCGACGCCAGCGCGGCGAAAATTGTGATCCACCTCGAGGCGCATCGCCGATGCATTGGCGACGCGGCGCGGATCCTCCGACCCCATCTACTCTGGCCCCATCTGGGAGGCCGAGAGTTTGGGAACCTCTTCCACCTCTGATGCTCCTCCTCGCCCCGGGGTGCGTTCCGACCAGAACTTCGGAGCGACAGGCCAGCGGTGGCGACGAGGGCCTCCAGGGAGGCCCGCAGAGGAAGGAAAACGAGGCCCGGGCAGCGGCAATCCTGGGCACCTCCTCCTCCTCCTCCTCCTCCTCCTCCTCCTCCTCCTCCTCCTCCTCCTCCTCCTCCTCCTCCCCCCCCTGACTCCGGATCCGCCCTACTTTGGGCAATTTCGCAAGTTGGGCCTGCAATTTCCGCCACACTTTTCAAGCCTTGACGATGCCAACTTCCGCCCTACTGGACTTGACCAGAAGCCTCCAAAAGGTAAGGCAAAGCCATCCGCCTTGCTCCTTGGGGGCGGAGATCTCCGCCCCACTGTTTCGGCTTCTTAGAGATGTGGAGTTCCGACGCAATTTTCAGTTGGAAAAAAGCCAATAAGTAGGGCGGATTTGGAGTCAGGGCCCCCGAGGAGGAGGAGGAGGAGGAGGAGGAGGAGGAGGAGGAGGAGGCAAGGACGAGCAGGAGGAGGAGGAGGAGGAGGAGAGAGGTGGAGGAGGAGGAGGGATGAGGAGGAGGAGGAGGAGGATCGAGGCGGAATAGGAGGAGGAATAGGAGGAGGAGGAGGAGGAGGAGGAGGAGGAGGAGGCTCCCCGACGGCCGGGCGAGCCCCCCCTCGAGCGAGGGCGCGGCTCCCGTGCAGGCCCTCCGTCGAGATGCGCATCGGCTCGGCCAGCGGCGCCTGCCGCCGCGGGGGTGGGGGGGGAGCGCCCCGCCCGGCCAGGCGGCGGCGGGCAGCGGCGGCCAGGCGTCCCGGCGTCCCCGAGCAGTGCTTCTGCGCTGACTCCGAGGTTCCTAAGTCAGAGGCGTCGGGGGGGCGCCACACCCCGACGGCAGCCCCGCTGCGACCCCCGTCGCGGGCACGGCCACCGCGCGCCGGGGGCGCTCCGACCCCCGCCGCGGCGCGGCGAGGAGGCGAGGTTGACCCCCGTCGGGCCCCACGCTTGCCAAGAAAGCCAGAGCAGGGACGCTTGCCCTGAGATGCTGGTGCCTCGACTTTTTGGAGCCCGGCGTTTGCACCTTGTTTCGGGCCCCAGGGCCCTCACGAACCGGCGCGGCGCGAAAGACGATGCAGAAACATGGGGGTCCGGGGCTCTGGTCGTGATTCCTTGAGATGTTGCATTTGTTGTGCATCGTCGGATCTCCGGGTACCTCTTCAGAGATCCGACGCGCTGGCAAAAATTGGGGCGGCTGGCTTCGGGCCGTTTTCGGCCTCCGGGGGCCCTCGCCAGGCCTCGGGGGACCGTCAAAGGCCGACTCGGGATGAGAAGCGGGCCCTACAGCGAAATGGTCCAGACCTCGAGGGCCCGCGCATCGGGAAGATTGGAGCGGCCGGGTGTCTGGGGCTGTCCCAAACAACTGGGCCTGATATGTCGGTCTGGCGTCTGTGTTATTCGTCGCCGCCCGTCGTCGTGGGAATGCGGCGGCGGGCGAGCGTCCTTATAGATTGTTCGCGGTAGCGGCCGTTGCCGGCCCGGGCCGCCCCCAGCCCCCCAGTCGGGCGGAGGCGTGCCAGAGTGCCAAAAAATTGTCCGGCAAGGTTCTTTTGATCTTCCCAGGAAAGGACCCCACCCCCGCTCGACGAGCCCAGCTGTAGGCATCGCCTTTTCTTCCCAGGGCCACAATCCCTCGAAGGGGGGGGGCCGGTAACGTCACGACTCGGTATTGCGCCCGAACCGTCGTTGGTTCTGCCTGAAGATTCCCAGGCGGCGCCGGCAAGCAATGCAAGGTTACTGGCCGCCCGCCCCCCCCGACCCCGTCCGCTATCGCCTGGGAACGAAAAGCGCCCTTCCGGGCGGGGGGTGGCCAGGCCCATCGATTTGTTTGACAGAGGTCGGTTTTTGATTGTTCGGCGATGGCTTAAGTTACCTGGCGGAGAGGGCGGGGGGCGATGTGCGGGCCGATCACCGTCACACTCTTCGCTCTTCGGGCAGCCCCGCGCATGCCCGCGCGCACCAATACGGCGTACCTTCCAGTCGGGCGTGTCCCCCTGCAGGGGGATTTTTGATGAAAAATAAATAATACCACAAACATGTTCCAAAAATTGTCAAAAATACAGGAAAACGGTCCCCAGACTATTTGTTTACAATTTTTGAATATCCCCCTGTAGAGGGACAGGCTCGACTTCAGCGCACCTCCTTCGGACAGGCGCCACCGACAAAGTCAGGCCGACCAGGAGGAGGTGGGGGCGCGGGCGGGCCCGAGAACACGGGCTATCGCCGCCGGGACTCCCAGTTGTTGACGGAGTTTTGCTTTGTTCTCCCTCGCACCTTGAGCCAACATGGTTTCGGTCTGTCTCTCCGCCGACAGGACGCGCTGCCTGCTGCAACCAACTGCTACCCCACTTAGTGAGATTGATGACTGTGCTACGCTGCATCCTACTTCCTTCCCGGGGCCGAGGTTTAACCCGAACGCCCCTCGTTGGCCGCATCCTGTCTTCGCAAGACAGGCCACGCTCTAACCGCTACCGTTTTGAACTCAAACTTCGACGATCGCAGAAAAATGTTTTCAGTCGCGGTCGTCAACCAGCGCGGTGCTACCCGCTTCTGGCTCGACCGTTTCTCCGGCAACTTGTAATGCCTTTGGACGTCTACCAGTCAATCTGAAACGCATCAATCTTATAAGAGTCTTTAGCACCATGGCGCTAACGGCTCTCGCTCTGATGTCCGCCAAATTCTCGTCCTTGCTCGCCTCCTTGATCCGAGAGTCTTTGCGATTGGTATGATGCTGAAGCCAAACCAGGCCCGTGTCAAGATGAAGGACATTGCCCAAGCCTCCTCTTGATGCGGTGCCCTTGCCTGCCGTGCTGTCGGTGTGCAGGTCGATGGGCACGTGTCCTGTCAAGTCCCAGATCATCGATGTCATGGCAATCGCGATGGAACATCTACTTACCTGGGCAATTGACTCCGCCTCGCCAGAGCTCAAAGCAGGGGCCGTCAGGTCGCAAATTCCACTGGCAGACAATCCTTGGCGTGCAACGTGACCACACACGACACACTCCTACGATCCGGATCCTAAGCCTAGTCGCTGTCGGCGTACGCGTCGACCTTGCCCAGCTGGTCCAGCAAAAGAAAATACTAGATCCATCGGCCGCACTCGTGTAGGTACCTCAAGAATCTCTTCAACCGCGCCCAAGAACCAACTGTCGGCTTAGCCATGAGCCTCGCCAGCCAGTTTGCTCTGAATCCGTACACTGGAACGTCTGCAACCAGATAAGCGAGCCTCATTGCTGCGGATCGGATCGCTGTCGCCTGCCCTCGGCCGAAGGGTTCCTCGTCGCGCATGTCCTCCAAACGTTTTCCGGCTGGCGTCGTCACGGGCTTCCACTGGGCGTCGAAACCAACCAGGCCACGAAATAGGCAAGCAGGTCAACATGAAAGACCATCCGGAACGCATCGCTCAAGTCCACTAGCCTGGTCAAGATGGCAACGTGTCTGTCGTCTGCCGCGCCCCAGCCGAGCTTCGAATGTCTCTCGAGGATCATCACGCTCAGGAAGCCCTCCACGAGCCAGTCGCAGCACTCATCAGGCCCTTCGAAAACTACATCGACTCCGTGGCGCCACCTGGCGCTGTCCTCGGCAGCGCAATACTACAGACAAGGCGTTGACAGTCGCACCTCGTACTCGCGCCTGACAATCGCCTCGTTTAAGAACTCGCCCCAAGCGTTTGCTGCATCCCGCGTCCCGCACAGCGCGCGCCACAATCTACCCAAACCGCCTGTTTGAGCGCCTTCCTCTGGCAGCCGGATGTGCGATTCCTGGCGGCACTTCGGATGAACATGTGCTCGAGAAGCGTCCAAAACTGAGATCTCACGCTCTCTGGAGTTTCTGCTTGGCCCCCTTCTGTTCGACTGGAACCAGGACAACAAATTCTTCAACGACTGAAATGATGGAGTCGCAGCTAGTTTCATTCATCGCCAGCGACTTCCACTTAAACTTTCGCCAAAAGAGTCGAACGTCTGGTGCGCTCACGTCCCCCATGCTGGTTACGGTGGGCCTTGTCGAAATAAGCTCCTTGGTCTGGGTCATCGCCTCCGGCACCTTCTCGTATACAGGGAAAGCACGAAAGAACTCGATGTTCTTGACGTTGGCTTCTCCAACGCCCTTGGGTTCAACCGTTCGCACGTCAGCTCATCGAAGAAACGCTCGAGCCCATCTTCGTCCAACTCCTGGGTGTCGTGTCCGGTCATGCCCGGCTCCAGGGCGCTGATGCTGACCGCGCCGTCCTGTTGCAGCTGCCTGCGCAGCCCTTGCAACACAGCCGCCTCTATGGCCAGTTTCTTCTCCACGGTTGGACTCATGGTCCGCCTGCTGCCGATGGCACTCTCGCGCTCGTCGCCCTGGAGCTTCGTGGGCTCCTCGGCGACACATCTGGAAGCTGTCAACCCTCCCGCGGCACTTCTGGCCCTCGCATGCTGGACGCTTTCGCGCCTCAGCAGATGGCTGCCACTCCCTTCCCCTTCCTCGTGCGACGCGCGCGCCGAGCGGTCGTGGCGCCGCGCGACGGCGCCCGACGCCCCCTGAGGCGGTGGCCGGCCCAGGCGAGCGCACCCAATCGGGGGGCAGGGGGGGGCCCCGCCACACACGACCCGCACAGGGGAGCGCAGGGCTGCGCCTGCGGTGGGCAGCCGCCGCCGCAGGCGCCACTGGGCCCCAGGCAGCGCGGCGCGCCCCTGCAGCGGCAAGCCCTCCTCCTGCTCTTCCTCCTGCTCTCCCCCCCCTGCTCAGGACCGCGGGCGGCCGCGTCCGGGCGCTTGCGTGGAGGCGGTGGCCCTCGCCCTGCACCTGCTCGTGGTAATCATATGCTGCGGGTGCGTCGGCACTGCGCATGCCCAACCAGCAGCCCTAGGCGGGCACTGCCCCGAAGGCCTTGCCGCCCGCCCCGCGCACGCCTGGTGCTCCAGGTTCCCACCCTCGCCATCGGTCGGACGTGCGTCCCCCGCGCGTGCTTCGATGTCGCGCGTGCTTGGTGTTCGCACGAGGACCTCAGATGCCCCTCGATGCTCCCCGCCGAGAAACATGCACACGTCCGAGCGACGCCAACAGCTCGTAGTCAGATCTGGTGCCACCCGGGTGCGCTCCCCACTGCGACGCCTCGTCGTTAGTGAGCCTCTCCCTGCACACTTCCGACTCGCTCACGCCGACGCCGTCCTTGACAGGCTGCCGGAGCGCCTCCCGCAGCCGCGGCCCGATATAGCCGCTCCGCTATAGGTGCATCGGCTCGCCCACGACCTCCGCGACCTCGCGCCGCGCCCTCTTGACACCCCGCTCGTGCGGACGACCCGCCCTTGGCATCCCCAACTCGCACCTCGCCTCTCCGCAGCGCGGTACTGCCCGCTTCAAGCCCCGAGGGGGTACCCGAGGCTGGCCGGGACTGCTCGCCGGCACGGGTGCGGATCCAACCGCTTCCGGCGAATCCAGCCGGCGCCGGAGAGTCTGCCGGCGCGGTGCTGCCCGCTTCCGACGCGCACCTCGATGGACGCCCTCCCCTGAGGTCCTGGCGCTGCAGTGTGTTCGCCCTCGGCGCTTTCGCTCGATCTGGGGCCCGGGGGGGGCCATTCTCCGACGACGTGGCGTCTCCGCCCGGCGAGGTGCTTCCTCGACCTCTCGGCCGTCGGGGGCCCTTTCTCTCGCGCCCTGGGGGCCATCAAGAGCGTGGATCGGGGGCCACCCTCGGGGAAGC